CAAATGATTAATGAAGAAGCCCGGAAAGTACTGAGCTTCGGTACACAGGCATAAACAGACCGGTAACTAAAACCATCATTCAATTATATTAATACCATGGCAGCCAACGACCATCTGTTTGATGCATTTCCGGCAACTACCAAAGAACAATGGATACAACAGGTTATCAAAGATCTGAAAGGCGGGGACTTTAATACCATCCTTAACTATACATCACGTGACGGCATTGTCATTCATCCTTTCTACACGGAGGAAGACCTGGCAAAGTATTCAGAAAGGAAGCCGCTCTTCTCACATACAGACTGGGAGGTAGGTGAAGAGCTAGCAGTAGAAGACGAAGCGGCTGCTAATAAAAAAGCATTACAGGCACTGGAAAGCGGGGCTACCAGCCTGGTGTTCCGGGTACAGAGCACTGTATCACTGGAGGTATTGCTGCAAGAAATCGGCATTGAATACATACAGCTCCAATTTATACTACAGGAGGGCATTGGCGAATTTGATACACAACTCAGTTCCTACCTGTCTGCTAAGAAACTGGACCGGTCTACATTAAATCTCATCGTCAGCTATGACCCCATCCACCAACTGGTAGAGACAGGCTCCGGGCTGGAAGCAGCGGAACAAGCTGCTTTTATAAAACATATCAACAGCGCTAAGGACGCGCGTAATTGCTGTATCAACGGTGCTATCTACCATAATGCGGGCGCGTCTCCGGCTTATGAGATTGCCTGCATCGCTGCTCATGCCAATGAGTATTTTCAATGGATGGAAAAGCCTGGCGTTCCGGTGCAGGTACAGGTATCAGTTGGTCCCGATTACTTTTTTGAGATCGCTAAGCTGCGGGCCTTAAGAAAGGTAATGACATTGCTGGCGGCGGCTTATGAGACGGAGATGGACATCAGCCTCCATGCCGAAACGGCCACCCGCAACCTCACTTTATATGATACGCATAACAACCTGCTCCGGACAACCACGGAAGCGATGGCGGCCACGATTGGCGGCTGTAACAGCCTTGTGGTAAAACCATTTGACTGTTTTTATAATGCGCCAAATGAATTTTCCAGCAGGCTGGCACGCAACATACAATTGCTGCTGAAAGCAGAAAGTTATTTTGACAAAGTATCGGACATAGCAGCCGG